ATCTCCTTCTAAATTTTAACACCCTTCACTGGTTTGGAGGCTTTTTCGCAACATTTCATTGCATTTAAGGGATGATTAACCAAAATTAAAAGCTCAATAATCAACTTGCGAATTCACTAAAAGTCGTGATAATAGCGCCAAAAAACTCATTTTGTTTTTGGGTGATAAGAAGAAAAAGATGCCTAGTGTTGACTCTAGAGTACACTCTCCCACATTTCCACTGATACTGATATCCAAGACTACCAGTCAAACAAGACTGCTACATTAACATTTTCTTTTTTGTATCTATTACTGAAACTCTCTCTCTGATCTCTCATTTTTTCTATCTGTTTGTTATCTCTCATCTCTGCCTCTCCTCCTTCCTGTTTGGCATAAGCTATGGCAGTGGGGCTGGCAATAACGAGCCAAGGTGGGCAATACAATGGCAAAATCACTACTTTTGTTATCCTCTCATGTATGATGGCAGCCATGGGAGGTGTTATTTTCGGCTATGACATTGGAATTTCAGGTCTTTCTCTATATTTCCCAAATCTTTATCATACCATCACTTTTTTTTTTCAACTTGATGAAGCAGATTATGAACTTATTTGCAGCAGCGCAGACAATGAATGAATTTGAACTATTTGTTTTCTTTTTGGTCTTCGTAGACTCTATTTTAGTGCGTCATCTACATGGGCATTTTTTCTGCATAATGAATGATTTAGCTGATTGGTACAAAATTAATGTTAGAATCCCCACTATCCTCAAACATGAGTGACGAGGCTTTTTTGCTGCTATATATATATATATATATATATATATCTGTCATAGTTATGGTCCGTTTTTCCATCCCTCTCATCATCATAAAGTGGAACACTTTGATGAACAAAGATTGATGTTTTCCAAACTGGCGTTCATTTGATGAACAAACATTTACCATCACAATATGAAAACTTTTGTTTCTGTTTCACTGAAGTGCTAATATTCTTGTTGTACTTGCACGTTGAACTATGAAGGTGGGGTGACTTCAATGGAGCCATTTCTCAAAAAATTCTTCCCAGAAGTGTATCTCAAAATGAAAGAAGACACCAAGATCAGCAACTACTGCAAATTCGACAGCCAACTCTTGACATCCTTCACATCCTCACTCTACATAGCCGGCTTAGTAGCTTCCTTCTTCGCTTCTTCAGTCACCAGAGCATTTGGCCGCAAGCCTTCAATTCTCTTTGGGGGTGCTGCATTCCTCGCCGGTTCTGCCTTAGGCGGGGCGGCTCTCAACATCTACATGCTAATCCTCGGCCGCGTCATGCTAGGAGTTGGCGTTGGTTTCTGTAACCAGGTAGCTCTCAAACCGTTAGTGATCATCATCACCATTACTGTTTAATTGTTTATTTGCTCGACTCTTTTGCTAAAAATAAAGGGATATGTACCTTTTCTAAACATACTTTTAGTGTAAGTGATCCTAGTATTCGTTAAATTAAAAAGGTTCGTTTTTCAAAAATTTGAGAATCAATGTTTTTTGTGATTGAAAATTGATACATTAGACCAATGATTACTTAATGATTAACTTATAAAAAAA